AGCACACCAACATCTCCTTATAATCTATGTGAGGTAGTAAATAGATCAATTCCAGCAAAAAAGATTGGGAGACTGGAGAAGCTTAACTTTCAAAGATACGGGTGTGGCAAAGAGATAAAGAATGGAATGCTGGGAGAAGGTTGTCTTTCTCCAGAAAAGCTTTTGAGGGAGGATCAGTGACAGACCACCAGAGGAGCAGGAAAACTACCTCCTAGCTTGCCTGTACGTAAGTCCTCCGGAAACCAGCAGCTTTGCTGCTTGACCTTTTTCAGTATCATGATCTTAGGACAGTGATGATGGAGCCAAGAGGAACTAGGGGAAATTTGCATAAAATTGGATAAATCTTTGCATTTCTTGGGAGATAGATGTCTCAAATAGATAGAATCATGGACTTACACAGTCGGAGTTGTTTATGCTTTTCCTGGGCAACATCCGTGAGAGGAATAGTGCCACTTTGGAGGCAGCCATATTCATTTAGTCTTACTTGGAGGCTGTGTGGCCTTAGAGTCAACACATACCTTTGTTGAGCCTCTCCTCATCTGTGAAATGGATGTGGATAATATTATGGAAATGGGAATATGTGTGTCTAGAGCATAGCTACATTAGCAGTTTGGCTTATTGACTTTTGTGATTTGTAAAGTAAAAATATTTGTGATTTATCAAAGATAATTAGTTGTATAAAGCGTAATGATCAGTCAAAGAGGAGCCCCGTATTGGCTTCTGACTTTCACGGGTTTCATCGTAGTCTCTTCTGTGTCAGAAGTCTCTTCTATGTCTCCTATTATGGTGAGAGTTTTGTGAGGCTTGGGGTGGAAGGGTGTGGTCAGCTTGGGAAGGTAGGCTGCTTTCAGAGTTTGGACTTTGGCATTGGGAAGTCATTGAATGCTTTTAAGGTGGGGGCACTGGATTAGATTAGAGAGAGAGAGAGAGAGACTGGAGAAGATTAAAAAAAAAAAAAGCTGTACTCCGATGTGGAGTCTACCACCCCTCTGCCATTACCTGTGCCTATGGGTGGCTGGAGAGCACCGCCAGCCTCTTGGGCTGGTCTCATGTTCATGCCCCTACCTCCAGGGGCACTTTCCTGCTGCCAGATGGTCCTACATTAGTTCCTCGTCCATTGGTTCTTACGAGGTGCTTCCCTTGTCATGTCTAAGTGAAATCCTGTACTTGGACACTGGATCTCATCCCTCCATTACTCCACACATTTTTCCTCTCCTAAGTCAATTTTTCTTCCTCCTCTGGATCATCACCAGATCATAAAAACCTGCTGCTATTTTTTATCATTTTCAAAATTTTTCTCTTCCCTTCTCCCCAACTCCCTTTTCCATTTCTTTTCCCTGTAAAACTCCTTGAAAGAGTTCCCTATCTCCAATTCTCTCTTGATTTTCCCTTTCCTTGTGAACGTCTTTCTCCGAAGGGTAACATCCATGGGGAAAGGGAATGGTCACTCAGCTGTTTTCACCACAGCTGCTTTTGTCAAGGTCATTGGTGATTCCCAGGTGGCACCGCCCGTGGACAAATCTCATCCCTTTCCTTTGTAACATTTGCTGCATGATCATTGCCTCTTCATTGGATGCATTTGTTTCACCGACTTCCAGGATCCCATTTACCTTTTGCTTTTCTTCCTACCTCCTTGCTCTGCTTCTCTGTGTGTGCTGGTGCCTCTCCCACTCCAGTCTTCTGGGGAATGCCCCTGGGCCTAGTCCTTAGCCGCAAGCATTCCCTTGAGCGTCTCGTCCAGGTTCATGACTTTGAAATACCGTTTCTGTACCCATGACTCCCAAATATGTATCTTTGTCCGAGACCTGTCTCCTGAACTCCAACAGCCTCTCCCTGAAACTCAGCATTTTCAAAATCTAGACTGTTCCTTTCCAAACCCGCATCACATGCAGCTTTCCCTGTGTCAGTTGGTGGCACTTCCAGTTTGTCCAGTTGCTCAGGCCAAAATCCCTTGGAGTCATGTTTAAGCTCCTACACCTCATATCCTGTAAGAACTTCTGTTTGCTCTACTTTGTAAACATCTAGAGCCTGAACTATCCACTCTCATCCCTTCCTCTCTCCTGACATGCTGCAAAAGTCTCCTGACAGGTCTTCATGCTTCTCAACTTAGCAGCTACAGAGCCCTTCTCAAAGGTAAGCCTGATGTTGTCACTTCTGTGCTCCTTCTCAGGTAGAGTAAAGCAGCCGGAAATTCGTGTTTGGTGCCTGAGCATTGCCACCCACTGAGCCTTACCCCTTAACTCGGGGTGTAGCCTTCAAGGGGTCACAAAGTTGGTGCTAAAGAGTAGTGACTCATGGAGGTTGTTTAGTTCAAATTAAAAACAAAACAGAACAACACTATGCTGTTGGGGAGCCTTTGGGACACAATAGAGGTTGTCATGGGTGTTGGACTTGCCAGAAAATTCAGTCCTACAAAATTGTACAGTCAATGGACATCTCGGAGCCTTGGTTCTGTGTCCCTATTGTGGCTTTTGCTCATTCTTACTTCCACTTAAAACACTCTCTGCCTTTCCCCCATTTTCTGATGATGAACCTCACATGTCGCTTTTTTAAGGGATTTTTCTGCCACTCCCTCCCATCCCCCCCCACCCAATGAATGATCTCCCCCCATGCCTTCATGCTTCCATTATTTAATCAATACTAATTGGATCCCTTACAATGTTTCAGGAATACAGCAGGAATACTATCTTAGAGGAGACTATGGTCTAGAATTGAGTACTTTCCAAGACCGTAGTCATGCATGGCTATTTAAATTAATTAAAATTCAATTAATTTTTTTTAACTTCTCAGTTGTGCTAGTTACATATCCAGTGCTCAATAGTCAGATGTGGCTAGCAGCTACTGTGTTACACAATACCCATGTGCTGGATTAACCCCATCTTCATGGAAAGTTCTGACAGTACAAGAGAGGGGGGATGAACGACACACACACACACACACACACACACACACACACACACAGAGTCAAGGGAATAAATGCTGCGTAGAGAATTGAAATAGTGTAGTAGAGTGACTGATTGGCTATTTTAGACAGAGGGACCGGAGGGATGTCTGAGAAGGTGGCATTTAAGCAGGGGTTGAGAAGAAAAGGAGAAATCTGAAATTGGTGGGGTGAAGGAATGGAGATAAGGCAGCGGGCACCACTAGGGGAGAAGTCTTAACGTAGGGACACATTTGAAAGAACCCCAAATGGCTGGAGCCCTGTGGGAGGGGAGAGAGACACAGAAGAAATCTGAGAGGTAGGCAGGGGCCTGGATCACTGTGAAGGACTTTGTGAATTTGGGTAGGAAGTGAGTGCTTTTTTTTGTTTTGTTTTGTTTTGTTTTCTGAGACAGCCATGGGAGTGTTCCAAGGGGAAGAGTGACACAGTCTGATTATATATTTACCATTTACATCATTCTACCCGATTTTATTAGTTGCTTACTTACCAGTCTCTCCACCTGATTGCACAATCCTGGGTTTTTTCATTTTTAGTTTGTTGAGTCATGTCCTGTTAGCCTCCATATATGGATAATAACTGTGGTAGGATTGAATTAAATTAGAAAAATCCTTATCACTGACCTGCTGGGCTATGGCTGAGTCTCAGAGTATAACAAAACTAGGCATGACATATTTTGCTTCCCAAATAAATATAAGGTATGACCTACTTCTTTTTGAGGCATTTCAGAATTTGTCCCCTCACTTTTGGTGGTGGTCAAGGTGGGGGTCAATATTTTTCCCTCCAAGTGTATAAAGGTGGAGAGTAAGAGCAAAACGCGTGTCCAGAAATGAGCGTTTCCCTTGTGAGAACTCATCTTGTTGCCTAATTGAATTCAAGTGTGTGGCATTGAAAAGCCAGGAGGGCTATTACAGATCATATAGTACAACTGTTTTATAGAAGAGGTGAATTTCAGCAACTAGGCCAGGGGACAGCCTGTGTGAAGTCCCAGTGTCAGGAAGGAACTCGTGTTCATGGAGGTGGAGCAGAGTCTAAAGCAAGGGCCTCCTCTAGCCAAGGCTTTCTTCAGACAGGGCTGGACCAGTGTAGTGGCAGGCTTGAGAGGGCACACTCTAAGGGCACTGGGTGGTATGGGCCATGTATGGCCATCTAATTATATCTCATAACAAAGCTGAAAAGCTGAGTTCTCACACGGGCTCTCTAGATTTCTAAATCTCGACCATTAATTAAGAAATGAATTTTTAAACACTGTGGTACAAAGTACTTCTGTGGGCCAAATATAGTCTTCGGGCCACCAGTTTGTAGCATCAGGCTCTAGGTCTTTGTCCAAGTGCGGAGACTGCTGGAGTCCAGGGTTCGTGTTCCCGGGCAGCACAGGACCCAGTGCCAGAGTATATCCAGCCCATCATCCACATCTCCATGAAGCCTGTGATGGGCTGCAGGCAGCCTAGAAATGAGCATCAGTGCTTCCTTGGGAGGAAATTACTGAATCTTTAGACCAGAAAGGCAGTTAATGAAGTACTAGTCAGGCTTACACATAATTGTATGGCTCAATAATTAAGAGCAAAAATCAGAAGACCTGGGCTGGAACCCCGGCTCACTTAACCTCCCCAAGCCTCAGTTTCCTCCTCCATGAATGAGGTTAGTAGCAACACCTGCCTAAGGGGGTCTGTGAGGATTGAGTGCGTGTGGGTGCTTGGCATAGAACCTGCTACACAGTCAGTTCTCCAAAAATCTTGCTTAGCATTAATGCATATTTAGGTTTCATTTTCAAAGGTCTCCCACATCCATTTTGCTCATTATAACAATCCTTTGAGGGAGACAGAGCAAGCATTTTTAATGCTATTTTTACAAATGAGGAAATCAAGGCTTGAAGGCACTCAGTAACTGGCAGGTCTACCCAGCTTCGCAGGTGGCAGAGCTGGGATCTGAACCCAAGTGTGGTCCAGAATCTGCTTCCTGAAGCATTCTTCTGTCATCACTCAGTAGGATGTGGTCTGAGTCATCACTTCCATAACACGAGTGGTTGGGCACAGTGATTAATTCTTGCTACTGGCAGATTTGACAGTATGACAAAGACTGGGGACTGATCATTGTAGCCACAGAGCCCAGGGTACCCTGCACTCACCAACAGGCCAGTTGATGCTCCTCTCAGAGGCTAAGGGTAGGTGAAGACTAACCTTTGCTGTGATGTTCCCCTCATCGAACCTGCCTCTGGTTTCTTTCCCGTTTGCTCCCTTATTCCCTGTGTCGACATCAGGAGTCAGTTTGGACTCTGTGGGGAGGGAGCTGAACCTGAGGGGCTGCTCTCTGTTGCATGGTGCAGAACCGTCAGCCACCGCAGAGCTAACCGAGACCTGCAGTTGTTTTGCTTGGTCTCTCATTGCTAACGGGGTAGGCTCACGTGATTCACCCAGTCAGGGCGAAAGGAGAAGTTGTGAACAGAATTAAGACTTGTTCTAAGACCATCTGGTAAGGGGAACACCTACCAGTCTGCTTTTTCTTTCTTTCAGGCCTTGACCATCATGCAACCTTGGGTAGCCATCTCCAGCTTCATACTACTTCTGACAGGTAAGTGAATAGGTGGGCTGGGATCTGGAAGTCCTGAGGATGGGAGAGTGTAGATGTGTGAGTGTAGTGTAGGAAGATGGATGTGCTTGGGCTTTGGTGGAAGCTAGTGGGTCAGCTAGTGAGCAAAGAACCAGGCTAAGTCTTACTCAAATAAATTGCTTAAATGCTATGAATTGCAAAATCCATGGGTAAATGAACCAGGCACAATGCAGAACAGTGTATCATATCTTGCCATTTGTGTTTGAACGAACAAACAAAAAGGGGTGGGTAGATAGCCCTGTGAGCATGGACTACTCAAGTGTATGTAAAACATAGTAACAGTGTTAGCATGGGTGGGAGGGGATGGGGAGAAGAGACTGGACTAAGATGGAAAGGAGACCAGTCCTTCACCATCTTTTGATTTTTAAAAAATGATGTGCAACAATCTCTTTTAAAAATATTTTAGTTCAAGCATTCCACGAGATAGAGGGGAAAGTTAGGAATTGACGTAATCTGAAATTTTAAAAACAATAATCTCCAGAAGTCAGATTATGGGGGAAAGTTCATTTCTTATTATAACTTGTATAACTTGATTTTTATGATTAGCATATTATTATATTTATAATCCAAAAATGATGTTAGGCAAAATGAAATATTATAAGAATTCAGTGAAAAAGTCATTTTCTAATTTTATGTAACAATGACCATTTTTATTCCCAAAGCGTTTTCCAAAGTCATAGCATTAATAAATAAGAGTGATTGGTGAATTTCCAATTTCTTTTAAGGGCTACCTTGACTGCATTTGGCACTATAGGGTTTTCATGCCACTGTTCCAGAAGAGACTTCTTGTTTTATTTTTTAAGTGGCATTATTTAGTACATGATCGAGTATTTTCCAATTCTCTCTTTTCACGGGGAAAGTGGGCCTCGCTCAATTGTGGGGCTGTTATATACTTAAGAGAAGGGGTCCCTATTGGATTTTTTTGGACTGATCCTAAAACCCCTGGTAAACCTCAGCTCCTCCTAGAAGTATTAGAAACACATTTTCTTTTCTTTTTTTAAAAAAGATGTTATTTATTTATTTATTTTAGAGAGAGAGTGTGTGAGCAGGGGGAGGGGCAGAGGGAGAGAGAGAATCTCAAGCCAACTCCTCACTGAGTGCAGAGCCTGATGCAGGGCTCGATCTCATGACCCTGAGATGATGACTGGAGCAGAAACCAAGAGTCGGATGCTTAACCTATTGAGCCACCCAGGTGCCCCTAGAAACCCATTTTCTAAAAGTTGATTTCTGAAGAGTTTACTAGACTTCTGCCTTTAAACCAATAAATTTTTTTAAATTAAGTTTTTTATTTTAATTCCAGTATAGTTAACATAGTGTTATATTAGTTTCGGGTGTACAATAAAGTGATTCAGCAGTTCTGTACATTACACAGTGCTCATCATGATAAGTGTACTCTTAATCCCCATCACATATTTCATCCATCCCTTCACTCACCTTCCCTCTGGTAGCCATCAGCTTGTTCTCTCTAGTTAAGAGTCTGTTTCTTGGTTCATCTCTCTTGCTTTCTCACTCTCTCTTTTTTTCCTTTGTTCATTTATTTTGTTTCTTAAATTCCATATATGAGTAAAATCGTATGGCATTTGTCTTCCTCTGACTGTCTTATTTTGCTTAGCATTATATATACTCTCTAGCTCCATCCATGTTCTTGCAAATGAAAGCCAATAATACTTTAAACAAAGCATTAGCTCTGCTTTTCTTATAAGAGAGGTGTGAGGTGACTTCACTTGCAATAGCAGTTTAAAAAGTTGTAATAAGAATTAAAACTTTAAATGCAATAGAATTTTTCAAACATATTTTAATTGAGACAGTGACTGAATCTGGGGGAGGGGGAAAGCCACATGTATGTATTACCTATTTAATAAGCATACATATAACTGTCAGACATAGAATGAAATACACACTCATGTATTATTGAGTATCATTTGGTTCAAACCTTTTAGAAAGAAATTTGGCCATGTTCATCAAGAGACTGAAAATATTGCTGCCCTTTGTCTTGGTAATTTCTCTCTTAGATGTCTCTGCTATTCCTAAATACAGAAAAAAAGTTTAAATTCTATTTTATCTACAAATATAAAATAAATAATGCTTTTAAAGAATATGTTAATGTAAAAATGCTTATAATTTTTTAAACTGAAGATATAGAGTCCTATCATTACAAATGAAATAAACTGTGTAAAAAGAAAAAAGTGAAAATACATGTAAAATTGAAAGACTGAGGCCTCATGCTCTGTTTTCTCTTTATTTACAGATGCTGTAGTTTCTCACACTCAAGTGACTGGAGTGGTGGGTCATTCTGCCATGCTACCCTGCACCTACTCAACAGCTAATGGAGTCACAGCCATGTGCTGGGGCCGGGGGCCATGTCCCATGTCCCATTGCTCAGATGAAGTGGTCTGGACGGATGGATCCCATGTCACTGTTCAGAAGCACCCGCGTTATAAGCTAAAGGGAAACATTTTAGGAGGGAACGTGTCTTTGACCATAGAGAACGTGGCCCAGACTGATAGGGGTCTGTACTGCTGCCGTGTTGAGCACAAGGGGTGGTTCAATGATATGAAACTCACCCTATCATTGGAGATAAAGCCAGGTGAGCTTGTCTTTCCATCTTCCTTTGATCACTTCATATGGGTGAACTGAGACGTTTCCTGTTTGGTAGTAACTTTCTCTTCCTTTAATAGGGAAAGGGGAGGTTCCTCCAGTCTTGTTTTTCAGTAAGCATTGGAAAATAGAGTAACTTCTATTGGTATAAAATGAAGTGTTCAGACCAATCTTGAGCAAGACTATAGGTGAGAGGATCTTTCCAGTCAGCAAACTATCTCCTAGAGCAGGGCTTCAAAAATGCTAGTTGGTTCGGGGTGTCTGGATGGCTCAGTTGGTTGGGCGTCTGCCTTCAGCTCAGGTCATGATCCCGGGGTCCTGGGCTTGACCCCCAAGTCCTGCTCAGCCGGGAGCCTGCTTTTCCCTCTCCTCCCACTTTGCTATCTCTGTCTTTCTGTCTCAAATAAATAAAAAAAAAAAATGCTAGTTGGTTCATGAAAAACATTCAGTGTTCCATTGTGAAATAGAGTGAACATTCCTATGAAGCTGAATTTGCTCAGCTTAAAGAACTGCCCTTTTTTTCTCTGAGATTATGTTTTAGAAGAATTTTTAAATGTCCTTAACATTTTAAAACTGTTTTGGAGAATTTCAAACATATAAAGTAGGTAATATAATATAGGGTCTTATCAAGTAGGGATATCACCCAGCTCTAACAGTTGTCAACTCGATCTAGTTGCATTACATCATAAAGGGATATATAGTTTCATCCTTCCCTCTGCCCTGCCTGGGATTTTTTGAAGCATATTTCATATCATATCACAAAATTGCTTGTTTAAAAATTAAAGGGACCTATTGCAATATGAAAACATTTATATCCCAACAACTATTCAATAGTTGCTTTTAAGAATTTGATGAAATTCAAAAATCTGTCTTGATGTGAACATCCTTATTTTTGTTACCTTGGATGAATGGAGTGGATTCTTCAGGATTTCCTGGTTTCTGGTGTTCCTTCCTAATGAATTTCCTTCCACTAAGCTCTGATATTGACCATAGAACCCAATACCTGTGGCCTTAATAAACTATGTGTCTGTCTTTCTTTCTTTCTTTCTTTCTTTCTTTCTTTCTTTCTTTCTTTCTTTCTTTCTTTCTTTCTTCCTTCCTTCTTTCTTTCTTTCTTCTTTCTTTGTTTCTTTCTTTCTTCTTTCTTTCTCTTTCTTTCTTTCTTTCCTTCTTTCCTTCTTTTTTTTTTTTAATTAAGAGGAACTTGGTTTTGCAATCTCCCAACTTTTGGACTTGGTTTGTCTCTTTTGTGAAGACTAGTGACATAAGGGCAGTTCTGATGGAGAAAATAGATGACCATGGGGGAAACCATCTGTGGGAAGCAATTTAGGGAAGCCAAAAGAGGCTGGTGATAATCGTGTGCCCTAGACAGATGCAAGGAACAGCATGGGGAGAAAAGATCATGATTGCAACTTTTTTGGATTCATGAAATTTATTATTGGTTTTTCTGAATGTTAAGAATTGACATAGCCGAGAAATTAGTAGGACACTTGTGAAGTGCTTCGAAATTCTTTAATAGGTGGGCACTTACAAGGGCAGTGCTCTTGTCAAGTGGGAAAAGGGTCCTTAACTGAGCCAAGGAGACTGCCTCCAATAACCAATTCTTTGCTTAAGTTTGCTTGCTTTTTTCACCAGCTGAGCTTACTCTTCAAGCTTCTGTTCAGGCTTTTTTCCACCGGCATCTACAGTTACAGTTTCTTTGCTTCCGCCTGGGGAAAATATTTGCCACTGAAGATACCAAGTTAATTAGACAATTTGATTAGGTTACCTCCTCTTTATTGTTTCCCTTACTCTCCTTTGATCAGATTTTCTGCATATGTGCTTTTTCCCCTGTAGATTAGATTTTAAACTGGAAGGAGGGAATTGGATCGTACTCTTTTTGAAAGTCACTAACTACACCTTAGATCAGGGTCAGTAGATCGAAGCCCCAGGGCTAGATCAGATTACAAAACAGGACTGCTGTTTTATACGTTTTTATTTGAGCAGCCATACCCATTTGATACATACATTGTCCACCGTGGCTTCCCCATAGGCAGAGTGGAGCAAGTGCTCCTGAAGCTTAAAGCATTTACTGTCTGCTTTCCAGACAGTAATTTTCCAGAAACTTTGCTGACCTCTGCTTTCGACTAATGCTTTGCATATAATAGACACAAATATTTGTTGAAAAAAGATTTTTCCTCCTCAGATTCTAAATTAAATTGGATCTTTCAGAAAGAAAGGTTTTCAAACCAACTGTCCCCTATTTACGTGACATGGGTTTTCTTTTGTAGTAAGTCAAGTAGAAATTTAAGGAAACTTTTTGCAGAGAAAAAAGGTACCTAGTGAGATCAAAAGTATACATTCTTGATTCAGTCCTTCATTGGTTTGCTTTTGTTTGGGCTAACTTCTGGTTTTAGCTCCGTCTGGGTAGCCCAGAAACATTCACTAAGTGATTTGGAATCCTGTACTGCTGCCGAATCTGGAAAGTGCCAGAGTCAACGTTACTAGCTGTTGTTACCTCTTAGGTGGGAAGGAACGCAAAAGGTCTAGTTTACCTTCTAACCAAATGTAGAAATCATCTGTGTGATTTATCTAGCATATGCTAATGGGTGTGAGTTAGTCCTCATTTAGGATGCAGGTCCCTCGTTCGGTATGCCTCCCTCAGGCCTGACTGGACTGAATGCTATTTATTTGGTAAGCATTCTAGGCCTGGGAACTACTGTTGAAGTCTTAGTCATTCACCACAGAAAGGATAAAGGCAGCTCCAGGTTCTAGACATTTTCCTTATCTCACAGATGTTTATGAAGATACAGAAATCTGATATGCATGACCGGTCTTTCAAAGTGCTTCAATGCAAATCCCAGGTGACATTTTTCACCTCTGAACCCCCCCAAATATATCCTTTTAATGCAGCTGTTTCCTTTTTGCAAGTATGTCTTCAGAGCCCTCCTCTGTCACAGATTCTAGTTGACCAATGACAAGAACTCTGCGTTCAGGGAAGATCAGTGCCTAATTCTGCCCAGGGACAGTCTCTCATTGGTTGCATTAGTACGTGGATCCAGCTCTTGTTTGTTGCTGCTTGATTAATCCTTGCTTTCATGTTGGTTTCTAACTCCAGCTGAGGTCACCAGTGTTCCAACGTCACCTAGGGTCTTTACCTCTACTTCTTCAATGCCAGCACCCACGCAGAACCTCAAGCCAGGTAAACAAATGTGTTTCTTGAGTCCAGAGGTCTTCTAATGAGATGTCGACCATCCAAGGCATTGTGTTAAGGCAGAAGTACAATCTAGGCTAAGGGTTCTTACCTGGGTTCCAGACATGGGCTTCACAGGGTCTGTGAACCCCTGTCCCAGATTAGATGCACCCTTCTACATATAATCATTTTTAGAGCAAGGGAACTCATAGCTTTTGGTCAGATTCTCCAAGGCATTCATTATTAGCAACACCCCCCAAAAAGCGAGACCATTGATCTTAGACATCTAACGAGGGTGGAGTGGATTTGGCCCAGTTGAGCACAGGCTTTTGAGGCAAAAATAGGAATATCAGAGAATAAGGGTCAGGTTAATGAGATTCTGTCCTTACAAGGAGCTCTGAGTAGAGATCAGTTCGTCCATTCTGAAGCCAGATCTCCACTTGAGGATGAGATTTCAGTGAAGTTAACATTTACTCTGTTTCCTATGTGACAGGACCCATGCTAATGGTTTACAAGTATTATATTGCTTAATTCTTATGACAACCCCTATGCACTCTAGGTGTGATTCAATTCCATTTTATAGTTGTGAGAACTAAGGCACAGAGTCTAAAAGTTATATGGATAGAAACTACTCGAATCAGGATTCCTTCTCCATGAATTTGAATTTTGGGCCTGTGCCCAAGTCGTTAAAGACTTGACTGTGCCTTCTGCCATGAGCACTGAGCTTATAGTCAGGTGAATTTGTCTTGATCTGACATCCTCACTGAACAATCCTTTATACGATTACCCTGTCTTCTTTGGGCAGTCAATCTACTTACACAGTTTTGCTTCCAGCAACCTTTAATTTATTTATGTGGCATGGAAATAGCAAAAGATGCTATTTATACTGATGAAAAAGTAAACATCAGATTAAAGACTTCAGGGATTTAGAATTTACACACCTTTTTTTTTTTTTATTCAGGCCACATGGTTCATACTTCAAACTTCTGATAAAGAAGAGCTTAGATTTAATACGAGTGGAGAATAATTTGACTTAAAGGTAGAGAAATAGCTTGCCATTCTGAGGACAAGGTTAGGTTCAAACCTATCTCTAGGATTAAAAAGATAACTTTTAGTGAAGATTCTTAAAGCCTCCAAAATTCTTTGACCCCTTGGGGTAACGCTGGATTCTGAGGAATAACAGAGATATCACAACCTCTTAGCCAGAAAAATCTGATGAAACATACTGATTTCCCCTGACTCCTATTGAACCATATGTATACTTAATCAGGAGGGATCTGAAGGATTCGGCTTTGAGCTGAATTTGGAAGAGAGGGCTTTAGGTTAAAACTGGGATTTTAGAGCCATAGAAGTTTGTAAGAAAAACAGCTCTGTTCATTCGAGGCAGCGGAACACACTAAAGAATCTGTTGACTTTCTCAATATTCATTTAGCTTTGTAATACTTAGTTTGTGCCTGCAAATGTGGGTGGATTAGTGGACATGGTTTGGTGAATATGCATGTTTAAAGCAAAGATTCGGAAGAAAGGTGTTGGCTTATATGTCCGTGTGACCTCCTCAGGGATAGTATTAATTGAGCCTTATCCTTGTCTTGATGGTTTTCTCATGAGTTTGAGTTAAGTTGAATAGGAAGGAGGTGCATGCTGGAGCAGATCCAACGTTGGGACATTTATCTTTACATCCACACTCTTCCTGTGCTCAGTGCCTCTTGTGTATACTAGTTGCCTAAAATATTCATGAAATGGTTGGATGTAAGGTTTTAGAAACAGGGAGAAAAGAAAGATGCCTGCTAAGACCCAAACTTGGAAAAAAAAAGTTAAGCCCAAGAAGTCTTTTGCACAGATCCAAGTTGAATAAAGTTTCTAATCACCTGACTTCATTGTATTATCCTGTTCTTAGTTCTTAAACAGAGCTACATCCTGTTATGGATTTGAGCATTAGAGAGAAGCAGGAAAATAGTTCAGAACATGAAAAAGGGTGATGTTGAAATGTGGAGGCCACTGTGGGGAAGGGAAAACAGAAAGACCAATGAAAGGCAAGAAAAGCCCAGGTTTGGGAATTCTTGTCCAGCCAGCACCACTAACTTGCTCTAAAACTTGTGGTGCTCTAGGAGTAAAGTGTATAAAAATAAAATATTTAAAATGTTAATAAAATACACAGAGGCAAGTGATCAGTGCTGCATGTAAGGTGAGATATCTGACAAAAAATAAAGGAGTGATTTTAGAAAGGAAAGGGAAATTTCTAAGAGGAAGTTGGAAGGAATGAAAGTGGGTGGGTGCAAAGCATGACTTCAGGGGATGGTTGGGTGTGGGCACTGCGGGGAAGTTGATGGTGATTCCTGATTTTAGTTTTGTTTTTTTCTTTTTGTTGGGGTGGGAATTTTCCTCTACAAAGAGAGCACAGCTCTTTCATTCTTTTCATTTCAATAGCTACTTCATCTTCTACAGTGCAGACAGCAGGAACCCAGCCCACTGCGCCGCCACAGGAAACGAGCACAAGGCAACCCACCAATTCACCGTTGTACTCCTGCCCGACAGGTAACTTCATTTTCTTTCCTGGACGCCTGGGCATACTCACGTTTGGGTAATCGTTGATGCATTGTTAAAAGACCACATTCTGAAAAAGGCAAATCTGACATGAATGCTCATACTGGCCACTCAAATCAGCCATGTGACTTGAGCAAGTGTCTTACTCATTTAGAATCTGTTTTTATCATTTGTGAAATGGATGGCATAACAACGATCTTGCTTTTGAGGATTAAATAGGGTGAAAACCCTAAGACATAGTTAAAAGGTGGTAAGTAATAGATACAATAGCAACTGCGACTCTTAGCTTTCAAAGTCCAGAATCCATATACCTGACTGGCCCAGGGAGCTTGTATGATTTGGGAACATCCACATGCATAATACCCACATGTAAAGCACTCTTTTTCTTATTCAAATGAACCACTCTTGACTCCAGACTTCTTAGTGGGCTTGCTCTCTTGGTCCAGAGCCATAAAACAGTTGAATCCAGCCCTCCATTATCCAGACCAAACTGGTCAACCATATTCATGCTTCATCGAAGACCCAGACCGCAAGTACATCTAGGAAGTTCCCCTGCTGCCCTGTGAGGCTTGCACATGGACATTTTGAGATGGGCTGAGGGCATCAGCACCACCACCAAGAGGCATATCTGCTCAGAATGTCTATTGCTTTCTCCATTTTTTTCCCACTGTCCCCGTTCTGGGCAGCTCTCATATAATCTTTGTTTTTTGAAACCTAAGATTCACCTGTCTTTCCTGTGGTAGAGAAAGGTGATGCTAAATCCTCATTTGCCCCAGATAATTCTGTTACTCATAGTGGTGGTTTTGGGGAGTGCCACAGGCTGAACCCCTTTGTAATGTGGAGCTGGTTTATACGTGCTTGTGTCTGTGCTGAATCCAAACAAGGTCCAGCCTTGCAAGACTCCTCCTTAATGTCTGTGACTCATTGTGCTCAGGAGTTGCCAATCTGTAGGGGGCCCCCCTGCATGGCTTACCTTTTTGCCAATCATTCCTGGAAGCTGGTTAATTTAAAATGGACCTGCAGTGAGATTCACAGAGGGGCCTCTTCAGCTGGGATTAGATAATGAGGACATTTGGTTTTGAAAGTGGAATCCTTAGTGTGAACTGTTTCTGGGCACAAAAACAGAGTGAAAATAAATAGAAACACAAGGTAGCAGCAGTAGGAAGCAGACGCACTGCACACTTCTTGGGTTTGAGTGGGAAGTGCATCAGAGTAGGGAATCATAGGACTAAAACCTGGTCAAGGTAGAGCTTTCCAGAGTGGAACAGATATGGGAGCAGCTGTGGCCCCTATGACTTATGTGATCTTTGCCACCTTCGCTGTGTACCTGAGGGTCTCAAGCCAAATCCTTACTGTGCCTACGTCAGCCTTCAGCGAACTGAAGACTCACAGGAGCAAAGAATGTTAGTTGGGTCTGGAAGGGATTTTGGTGCTCATATGGCCCGCCACCCACATTGGATAGATGTGTGTGCCAGGCAACTGTCATACGTTATCTCACTTAATTCTTTGAAGGCAGGTCTCGTTGATTGCCATCGCTAGATTAGGGAGGCCCTATAGCTCTGCTTTAGAGACAGGCAGCTCCCAATTCAATGGCCAGCTACTAGCTGCATGCCCATCAGCAAGATGTGGCATGTGTCCCTGGATGTTAACGATGATAGAAGGATATGATGTTTGGGAGGTGCATTACACAGTGTCTCTCTCCCCACTGCTCCCTCCAATGTAACATAATAATTAACAAAAGCTAATATTTATCAAATATGATGTTCAGTCCTTTACTTACACCATCTAATTCGACAACTTTATGAGAGGGGTATTGTTATAGCTTGTAGTTCTAGCTATATTTACAAAATCGGTATTTCAAAACTCTAGTAAAGCTTGAACCATCGAAGCTTTAAGGTATAATATCCTTTTATATTAGGATTTTTGGCAATATAAGATTAATATTAGTTTCACAGCTGATATAACAGATATTTTATAAAATACTTCTGGATCAAAGTCTGGGCACATTGGCATGTAATGTAGGAGTTATATACCACTTGTTTTAGATCTCTTAGTACATTTTACTCACGTTCTGAATAAAACCAATGTAATGTCCATTCGGAATAGAGTGGTCCTGATCTTTGGATGTACATGTGGCCTTTGGGGAACTCATTGACAGGTTCTTAGCTGGCATGAAAATATTGATTACCTACCATTAAGTGGCATTCTTAACCCAGTTCCAAAAATGGGCCTCTGTGATTCCCCTAAAACTGTAGGTAAAACTTTGTGTATACGTGCATTTTTTTTTCCATAAGGAAGACTGTCCATTTTTGAAGGGTCCAAGACAAAATGGTCAAGAAACAGAACCTTACAGGATAAATTAATACAGCTTAGTAACTTGGTATGACTTTTGCAATGTCTGCAGCATTTGGCCATATTATTATTCAACTTTTCATTCACCACCAGAAGGCAATGCGAATATATTTAGTATCTACAGTGAAAATTCAATATTTTTTGTAATTATAATTAATTTTCTTTCTTGTTGAGCAGATGGGAATGGCACTGTAACACAGTCTTCAGATGGCCTTTGGCATAGCAATCAAACTGTAAGCATTTTTCTTCCTACTTTATTAGCCAGATTCACTTGTATGTCTCCCTGGAAGCAAGTTACATTTAGAGATTATTTCTGTAAGACTAACCCAAAGATTGATTCTTTCTAGTTAAAATAAAAAAAGAAGAAAATAATTTGACTCAAATAGGGATACTTTAATTAATTTGAAAAGTTCATATAGGTAGGCTGGTTTGTTAGAGTTTGCCTGATAAACGACATATACATACCAAACATACTACAGACTTTCTCCTGGCCAAAAATTAGGAAGAAAGAATGAACTAATTCAAGAGAATGAGTTAACTAACCAAGGAAGACTTCAGTTATCATTAGGGAAATAACACTTTGAATCAGTGGAGTGGAGGCCACCCAGAACAAAAATACTATGTCAGCGAATGTGAGTTTGCTTAAGCAGATCCTCCCTCATATTCTTTTCTAACCCAGTTGCCATCCTTTATAGAAATTTTGAGGCCACTGTTGAGTTTTTCTATACATAAACCTCCCCATATGATGTCTTATTAAGGTATTAACATCTTAAATTTGTGATTTAAAAAAAAAAAGATTTTATTTGAGAGAAAGAGAGAGTGAGAGAGAGCATGAGCAGCGGGGAGGGGCAGAGGGAGGAGCAGACTCCCCACTGAGCAGGGAGCTAAGCAAGGAGCCAGACATGGAGCTCAATTCCAGGACTCTGGGACCATGACCTGGGCCGAAGGCAGACTCTTAACCGACTGAGCCACCCAGGCACCCCATATAAATTTGTGACTTTGAAAGATGTTCTTATACTTTTTCCACAGTGAGCTTGAGAAAAATCTAAGGGGTCTTAGTCTCATGATGCTCATCAAAGTCTCATCTTTGCAAATAAGTTAGACAAATTTATCAATAGGACTTTTTCTTTTGGTTCCTCTGGGAGAAATAAGTTTCCTTTTAGTATGTGCAAATAACTCTCAGGAACAGCAAACAAAAAGAGTTTGAGGTATGAGAGTAATCTTACTGGTCTCAAGTAGTGAGAAATGACAACACAGCCATGATAAGAGAAATTCAAGCTGAGGCATGGTGGGGTTATTTAGTGTGGGGTCAAGTGGCTTTATGTTGTATACATCAGTGACAATAAGAACACTACATAGGAGAGATATAAAAATTTTGAACAACTTATGTGGCATGGACACTGATTGATCTAATGGATATGGGTTGACTTACTGAATGTTGGAACTGCCACTGTGCGCATGATTCTTCTATTGCTATGTGGCCAGACCTATGCTGGATTAAAAAAAAAAACAAAAAACCCTTCTGAGTGGTGAGATTGTTCTTGACCTCAGTTACCTGTAGACAGGTATGTTTAGCAGCAAGTAGAAGCAGTTTAGAAGCAAGTTCACAACAGGCAGCAGTGAAATCATGGGCCTTTTGTGTCTTGGCTCTGAGGATGTTGAGAGATATCCCACATATCTTGAGAACATGCAGCATATATTTTGACCCAGTAGATCAGCTTTCTGGACTCTATTTTAAGGAGAGAATTGAACAAGTACATGAAGATGTATGAGAAAAGATGTTCATTGTTGCTATTTATAATCATGAAAATGTTAAAAACAACTTAAATGTTTAATAGTAAGAGATTAATTAGTCAATTAAGTGTGCCTGCATACTGCCATTAAGAATGCAGTCACTGCAGTGCATTTACTGACATGGGAAGACAGTTACTACTGATTAAGGGAAAAAAGCAATTGTTAAAATAGTGTGTGTGCGCGCGCGCATGTGTGGTGGCATATATTGAATATAGTAATTGTTTATGTTAAGAAAAACACTAGGAGGATAAAATTCTAGAAGAGTATATAATGCAAAATGGTAATAGTGTTTGTTCTGGATGTTAGGATTATGGTTTTTTTAGTTTTCCTTTTTTCATGCTTAGCTGCACATTCTAAAATGAACATGTAGTGTTCATGTCATATTTTTAAAAATGAAAGCAAAGCCTCCCTCCTGCAGCCCCATGTTCCATCTAACCACTTTACTGCCCATTGGTAAGGTAAGGATAGCACAAGCTCTTCCATCCCAGACCCTGGCTGTTTCCCCTTTAAGCCCAAACACTAAGGACTTTCCCTTATCCCTATCTTCCTCATGGTATTATCAGGGGGTACCTAAAAGTACCTTTCCCAAGAACCCTGTTTAATCTGTAGTTGACAGACACAAACACAGAGGTTCAGAGAGGCTGAATAACTTGTCCAGGGTCACACAGCAACTAAGTCGAAGAGAGGAGATCCTGACTCCAGAGATTAAACTTTTATACAGGAAGAGACTTGATCCTTCTCTCTGATCTTTTCTGTTAAATACTTACCCTCTGGGATCTCTTTGGGATTGGAGCCAAGCTATGTAAAAGGGCTGAGAGTGATGCTTGGCGTATTTCAGGCTTATTCCAGAAGGTGGTGATCCTTTACAAACTGCACTAAGATGTTTAAACAAATTTCTGCATCTCTACCCAATTGACAGCATTTCAGGTTGGTTGTTAAAGAGGGCCATGTCTGTGAGCACCTACTTTCAAGTCCATTTATGTAGACAAAGAGTCTTAAATTATAGCTTAAAAAAAAAAAGGACTATAATCAAGGACCAATTTCAATAACTGAGCATATTCAGGTAACATCACTAGGTCAACTTATATATGACAAAAATTATGTTTTCTTTTTTAATATCAGGATATATTTATGGAAATAGCTTATTGATTTTTAAAAATATGTATAATTTACATATAATAAAGTACACCCATTTGAAGTGTACAGTTTGAGTTTTGAGAAATGCATACACCTTTGTAAATACCACCCACTCAAGATACAAAACATTTTGACCATCCCCAAATACATTTTGAATTTTAAATGGTCTTTGAATTTCACCATATGGTTATAACCTCGGATCACTTGGTCTTATCTATCTTGAGCCAGAAATAGCCAAGGGCCAACAAAGATAAATGGTCCAAGTACATTATTTTAGGGAATGTCTTTTTTTTTTTTTTTTTTAGAGAGGGAGAGAGAGAGCATGGGGTGGCTAGGTGGGGAGGGGGCAAGTAAAGGGGCAGAGGGAGAGGGAGAGAGAAAGAATCTTAAGTAGGCTCCACGCCAAGCTCGGAGCCCAATGTGGGCTCAATCTCATAACCCTGAGATCATGACCTGAGCTGAAATCAAGAGTCACATGCTTAACTGACTGAGCCACCCAGGCGCCCCTTAGGGAATGTCTTCTATAACTGACTGAGCCACCCAGGTGCCCCTTAGGGAATGTCTTCTATCCATAACTCTAACAAGATGCTTTTCTGATCCACCGATGTTTCCTTAGCATGTGTCGCTGGCACAAAATCCATGGATGACCACCAGTAAGGGACTCTACATTGGCATCTGCATTACTGCTGCGGTATTGCTCGCTGTGTTGGTTGTCGTGATTACCAAAAGTAAGTTATTTCAGGATTGTACCTAAGGGAACAGAGCAAGGGGTCTTCGAGGCAAACTGCCATGTGATTGAGATTTCACATAAATTTCTGTTTCCTAAACTGTGCTCTTTTTTAAATTATTGACCTACAAAGAGAAAGATGCAATATAAATTCTCCAGACGTGGAATTAAATATTAAGAAATGAGAATGTTTTGGGTAGACTTGGGATTTGGAAGGCAACAAACCATATATGATTTGTTCACTCCTTTTCCACTCCCCTCAAGAACCAGTTTTTGTCCCCATGAGGGATGATGTTGTTGAGTTTTATAAGACCCATTTAACAGGAGAGGCAAATGAAACATTGGAAGGGAAACTGACTTCAGGGCTAGGGCTAGAAGCAGGGCTTCAAAAGGTAGCCATCCAGCTGTTGTGTTTGGGTGTATTGTGTGCGTGTGTGTGCGTGCGTGCGTGATGTGTGTGTGGCGTGTGTGATATGTGTATGGGTGTGTGTGTGTAATGTGTGTGTGATGTGTGTGTGCATGGTGTGTGGTATGTGTGTGTGATGTGTGTGTGCATGGTGTATGGTGTGTGTGTGTGTGTGATGTGTGTGTGTGGCGTGTGTGTGTGTGTGTGCGGTGTGGTATGTGTGTGTGTAGCCTGTCTACTATGAAAGAGCCACAATCATTCATTTCCTAAAATGGTATTTAATTATTAATAATTACATTAAAAGTAAGCCTGAGCATCTGGGTGAATATACTAAACCATTCATGAAAATGAAATACTTTATACTCAGAAATTTGTTTGGGTCTTACTGATTCAAAAGGAGTTACCTGAGTAACTTGGGAATTGTCTGGTCTGGTTTTTTTTTTTAAACATTCTTTCTTCTAAATTTATTTTTTCAGGCTCTAGCTCTGTACAGATTTTGTTCATAGGAAAGTAATAGAAATAATATACTTGTTTGAAAAAAGATCTCATAAACTCTTTGGCCAACGTGTTTAATTTTCTTTTCAACTCCTCTCCAATTTAGAATACTTATGCATAAGAAGCAAGCTGGAACAACTAAAGTAAGTTTGAAAGAGTTTGTGTCAATACCTTTTGATATTTCTACTCTACCAAAAATAAAGAAAAATCTCTCTCTGTCCTCTTTTTCTCCTAAACTCTTCATTTTATACCCTAGATCCTGAAAAGTCTAGCTTAATGAGCACCTCTATTGTTATCCACAACTTCTAGTGATATTTTTAGCTATCTATATTTCTCTGGAATTGTCCCCTAACTGCTACAGAAGGAGCATCTCAGTCTTAATCTCTTAGAGCAAGAGATCACAAATTTTGTTTGATGGAACATTTGAATGCGTTGTTTGGTTTGTTCTTTAATTTCATTCAGTGCTTTGTTTATTGAATGTTTATTGAATGTCTACTATATTTCAAAGAGATGAACAAAACAGAAAACACATAAGCAAATAAACAGAGTCCTTTTAATGCTTCTAGACAAATGCCATGGGGGAAAACAGAGCAAGGTAATGGGCTATTTGAGGGAGTCCTGAAGGAATGGAAGGCAGCTCTGCAAAGATCTGGAAGAAGACAACTCTAGGCTGAAGAAGTGCAAAGGCACTGTGGTGGGGCAAATGCCTTCAGCTCTCCACAGTTCCTGTCTTCCCCTGCTGTTCCATTCCCAGCCTGTTCTGCTCATTTGCGTTGGTTATCTGGCCTCATAGGCATTGGAATTTACAATTTTTGTAAATCCATCCTACTGCCCAATTAAAACTTAAATCCCCTTTACTTGCATATGGCCTGTGGTCTTCTGCTAGAATAGTTACAATAGTAGGAAGCCACTACTTACTTCCAAATCCAAGTAGCTTGCTTCATTTGGTACAGCTTGGGCTTTAAGCAAGGTCTTTGATTCAAAATCCATCCCTCTTAGATTGCCACACATTATTTCTAGTGCTCTTTCATTGGATGTTTGCACACAGTCTTTCCTAGATCTGAGTTAATTACATGAGCCAATCTGCTGAATGCACCTTGAACAATGCCCAACGCATTGTAAGTGCTCCATAAATCCTGGTTTTCTATTATTGCAGTTACGCCTGTTGCAGCAATACACCCAAAAGATGGGCACTATTATTCTCAGCGTACAGACTGGAGAACAGGTTTAGAAGTGTTAAGTGACATCCAAAGTCACACCACACAGCAGTTAAAAAACTCAGTCTTAGGTCTTTTAAAGTCCCACACCCATACTTATAGAAGTTTTTGACTATGTGCTTCCAAGAATGGAAGAAAGAAATTGTTCCTAACAGGCAGAAAAGCATGGAACGTAGCATCCGTTTAGCTGATCTCTGTTCTTTCACTGCTAACTTTTTCTAAAGGCTTTTTATCACCTAATCATAAAAGAAAATAGTTACTGTAGAAAATCTTATGAAATATATAAAAAAACCAAGAACAAAAAACCCTGAGCATTTCTTCGTAACTTTTCTTTTTTCGTTTTTTTTTTTTTTTTTTTGCAGTTATATCACACTGACTCATTTCAAGCTCCTGACACCTAACCTGTTCTCACACATGTGTGAGTGGTCACTTAAAGATCAGAGCTGAGTGAAGCCTCAGTATGTTCCATTATCATTTCTGGGCAGGCTTAAGTAATAAAAACAGGTACTCTCTACCAATTAGAAAACAGCAGCTGTATCAAAATGGCACACATCCCCCTTCCGTACACTTACTGTACCAGTGCATGTCTAACGAACGCTCCAAAAACAAAGCCATGCAAATGCGAATCATTAAGATACAAAAAGTGATGTAAAAAAGAAAACAAAATGAACCAGTACAAACTCACTCAAGCAAAAAAAATGAGAGAAACCAAAAAGGTACGAATACAAAAAACATTCTAAAAATATCCAAAAGCCAGGTTGAAAACTGCCAGATAGAGTTAAGGACCCCAGCCGGAAGAGTACAAAACACAATGAGAAAAAAAGCAACCAAAACATTCAATAACAACCCGTGAGAAGACGCATCACGAGAGAGGACGACAACACAAAGAAAAACAACACTCGCAAAAGATCCTCAATAAATCTATTCTAAAAAAAGAGTATTCACAAAAAGAAGACAGACAGCACACACAGACAGAGGAAAAACCACAGCCACGCAAAACAGAGAGCCTAATCACGATCTCAAACCGCGCACGCAGGAACAAAGACCAAACCTAAACGCAAAGGACAAAAATACGCACACAACAAGGTACAACTAAACCGATTTTCCCTAAACACTCATATTACTCAGTCTGTAAAAAGAATTCGTAGAATGAAACTCGAACTAGACCTTCACAAAGAACAGCGGAACAAGGTGACCAACCAGAACACAAAATCCAAATGACCGAAAACAAACATAAAACAAAGAAATAAAAAAAAGTAGACATCGGACGACACATGCACTAGAAGACAAAAGACAAAAACAAAAAAAAAACATCACAAAAGTCTCACAAGCTCTAGAAAAAAGTGGCTGCCAATGTAAAATGATACAACAAAATGTCAAACAAAATGGGTAGAGTGACTCTGCAGAATCAAAATAAACTCAACATCATTGGGAACAGAGTATTAAATGATGAAGCAAAAACTAGATAAGCCGCTAGACAAAAAACCAACATAATCTCACAGGTGACACAACAAAAAAACCAACACCGTAGTAAACAAAGAGCTCAAAAAGAACACAAAAAAAAGTAAAAACAGAAAAACTGATATGAGACTGAAAAAAAACCACGCGAAAGAATGTAATCACAATAGCTTATTGATTACCATATAAATCCCAATGTAAAAATGAGAAAACTGACAAACGCAAAAAAAGCACAACGGTACAAAGCTCCTGAGGAACCAAGGAGAAAAGACAAGACAAGGTCATTCCAACATAATAACCCAATCTCAAGACACAAGGCTCCGAAAAAATACCATATTAAGGCTTACCCAACACCCAAACTGAACAATGGAGAAGAGAAAAAAAACGAGCGTACTAACAGAACAAACTAGACAACAGAGAAAGACAATCAGGGGCCAAAAAAACTATAGCAAACTACCTACGACACAGACATGTCAAACAAACAAGCAAGCGAAGAGACAAGAGACAAGCTATATGAACTAACCTTAAAAAACAGAAAGGACAAAAAAAAAAAAAAGAAAAAAAAGGAAAAAACTAAAAAGCAAAAAACAAAAGAAAAGAGACAATACAAAAAAAAAAGTAATGTACCAGACCATAAATAAATAAAAAAAAAAAAATAAACAAACATAAAAACACAGCAATCCAGAAAAATGATGCGAAAAAAAGAAAGCCAATGCATTAATAAGTATAAATAAAAAACCAACACCAACACAATTCAGTATTACAAAGATCAAAAAAAGATCCGGTATTTACAAGAGTTAAACAAAGAATAAAGGAAACAAAAAATGAACAAAACAGAAGCTATACAAACAGAACAACAAAAGAGAATGAGAAACAAGGTCAAGATAAGAAAACCCTAAAAGAACGCAACAGTAAGGAGCAGAGATAAACCAAAGTGGTCTAGGAAAACAAAATGGAAGGATATTTCGGAAAACAACATCCCGGAAATCAAACAGCAGAGCCCAAAGAAAAACACACGAAACAAGAAAAAACGGCATAGGCGCAAACAACACAGTGAAACATCCCACACCGGCACTTCCAAAAAAAGCAAAAAACGGATCTAGCAAAGCACAGTTAAAAAAAACACTAAGGTGGAAAGTGCAAAATCCAAGACAACAAGCATCAACATGGAACACGCAAAGTAAAACCCAGATTAGCAACCCCGCTGGAAACAACGAGCAACAGCACACAGAAAGCCCACAATAACAAAGAAACAATAAATGAAGCAACATCCCCACAACAAATAAGAAACAAATAGCATGAACACAAACACATATCTTCCATGCCATGTGACTGGAACCCTGAACCCACGAAAACCCCAATCGACAATACCAACCTGAAAATTTAAAATCCAAAAGGAAAGTGCAAGAAGACTGAAAAAATAAATGAACACAGAAATACCAAAAGCACCTTGAAAACAATAAACATGGAGACCCCCAGACAAAACAGAAAAATGATGTAAAAAAAAAAATAAGAACATGGGGCAAAGCACATAGTACACACAACAAGGACAAGGAAATAAATTCGAGGCTTAAAACAAAACAGAAACAATGCAAGAAACAAGGATAAATACCTATTATGGCCCAAACATTCCAAGCGATCAGAAAAAGGAAGAAAAAACCAAAGCCCCTGAATTCAAGAAACTACCAGGCAAAAGGAGAACAAGAAATAAATAGAAAAGAAACAATAAATCCAATGACAGAAAACTGCAAGACTACGAAAAAAAAAAAACAAAACACAAATAAAAAAACCTGCAGGAGTCAGTGAAGTGACTGGGAAAAGGTAAAGAAAGAGATGAAGCCCTACCACGCAAGAAAAAAAAGCAAGAAGGACACACCAACAAGACGAAACCGAAAAAGCAAAATATGGGAACAAAGAACAACAGAATAACCTAACGGGCCAGGAAAAAGTGAGATGGGATAAGACACCGAATTTTAGACGAGACAAAAAGCTATACTGAAGAGGAAGAATAGGGAAGAAGAGAGGAACGGGAAGTATGAAACGAACACAGAAAGACTTTATCAGAAAAGACCCAGCATGCAGAATGTAATCACTAACACGTTCAAGCCCACGAAAAGAATAAGACCCCATTCGATAGAAGCTCTAGAAAAACAGCAACAAAAGAAGAGAAAAAAAATAATTAAAAATAAGAAAGCTGGTACGTCTTCAAGAAGTAGCAGAACCAAGCTTTCACTAATGGCTAATCACTAATCACTAAGATAATTTTGTGAGTACATGAAAGTATGAGGGACTCTTTGTGACTAGTTTCATTTGTAGGTACACTCATTGATAAAAGAGATTTTTGTTTTCATTTTGAAAATTGACTTGTTGCTTTCTCAGCTTCATCTGTTAGTTGGAGCCTGGCATCTTCAACTTGCTGTGGACTCCCAGGAAAAGGGCAAGTGGGGCAAGATTTAACTCCAGTTCCTGAGGAGCTCCAATTTAGTAGGGGAAGAAACCCCCAAACTATCAATTCTGGTACTAATTAATATGGAGGGGAAAAAGAAGATGGTGGTAGCTGGGCTTCTCAGCTATGGCATTTGGGGCCAGATAACCCTTTGTTATGGAGGTGGTCCTGTGCATTGTAGGATATTTGGCAGCATGCCTGTCCTCTTCCCACTGGGGGAGACAGTTGGGCCCCTCCAGTTGCAACAACTATAAATGTCTCCTGAGAGGTACTATCACCTCTGGTTGAAAGCCACTGAGAGACCTGGAGGATGTGGGTGTTGTGGGGAGTGGGGTCACTTTAGCTGGGTTGGTTGGTCAGGAGCTGCCTCTGAGTAAGAGGTGACATTTAAGTTGAAACCAAATAAATGTGTAGGCAGCAGCCTCTTCAGGGAGTCCACCAAATGCAAAGGCCCTGCGTCAGGAAGAAGCTTGCGTATTGAGAGAGTGAAAGCAGGGTGTGTTCTGGGGACTGAAAACCAGTATGGCTGCAGCAGTCACCCCCCAGAGGACTGGCAACAAATGGCGCTGGAGAAGTGGGCACAGTAACTGGCAAGATGCTGGGTGGAAAGGGCTCTACGAACACATCTGTGGGAGGAGTCCCACTCTTGGAAAACAATTGCATATTTGG